TCTTTCGTTCTATATTATTTTCTATAATATATATGTAGTACAATTGACTGAAATATAGTACGATACTATATATTATAGTACGAGTGGCAACCCTAGTACCACCCGTATTTACCCAGACGGACTCCAAGGCAGAAAAAGAAAACCACCCCCTAAGGAAGCTGCTCTGGTGTGCGACCTCACTATTAGTATTATTTTAAAAAATTGTGGTCCTTCCCCAGTCTAGTCCACCTATTTGTGCTGCATCGATAATGCATCTGCAAGGCTACTTTACCACGTCATACACCTGTAGAGCTATGCAGCAGCTACATTATGGTTGTAGCACAAATGGGTCGACCGGGGAAGGACTACGCTCTCACAGAATACCAGCGCAAAATAGCAACTCAATGTTCCCGTGTTTCATATTGTTAGTATAGAGAACCGAATATACTTTCCATCTTAGTCCTCAGGGGTCACAACGCATCTGCATTTTGATTCTTAATCGAGTATAGACGTAGATGTCTATAGACCACAACATCCGCTTACCATAAGGTAGACTGTGTCATCGTTTTTCAACTTTATTCTGTAAAAAAATGAAATCAATTAAAGAGAAAATATAAAAGAAATAAAATTTTCCATTATAATGTATTGGCTGGTACCTGGTAGAAATAAATAAATTTACTTAATATACTCGTGATAAACCTGTACGTATTTTCTATTCGTTTATCGGTGTACGCCCACGCTATTATTTACTGTTATAACTGTATTCTCGAAATTTCTTTCTACTTGTATTTTATATAATTTTCTTCAACAGGTCAACAGGACAAAATATAAATGGAATAGTTGTTTTACATTTGCGTACACTTTTTTTAATTAGACCGGTGTTGATCTTTTTACAATAGCTATTGTTTTCAATGGTTGACCACCCTTCCAACTTCTTGCGTACAAGGCACTGTGATCGTTGTTTCTCAATAATGAGAACATCAAATAACCTCAACCTTGACTTTGAATAAAACCGAAAGACATCACACGGATTTTTAAATGATAAAGATCAAATACTTTACTCTATGAAGATTAAAAGATTTGTAGTAATTTCTATGCTGTGGAAAATTATTTATCACTAAATGAATGTATAGCTAGCCTCGCCGGCTAAGCCGCAGTCGGTAAGTGTTTGGTGTCAACGCTACAGACCCGCGGTTTACAAACATAAAATGCTCAAAGTGTCTTTGAGCATTTATGTTTGTAAACCGCCTACACAGTACAGGAAAAAATTCTACTGTAGTGGTAAACGTTTTATTATACAATATAAGCTAATATATAGAACCTCTATATACATATATTGTGACTCGGTGAAATTCCTGCAATGAAAGAGGAATTTAATAGCGTTTAACAGCTTAATGAAATCCACAAATATAATATTATTGGTAATATTGACTTGCAACGGCGACAATAAGGCGCCAGTCGGGCATCGACCTCGTGTTTGTGACTGCTACCGCACCGGAACCTGAAAATGTATTACGTCTAACCCGAAATGCACTGAAACACGCCCTCTACTCCTGACCTGTTACATAAAATTGCTGTGAATCCAAATAAACGCTGAACATGTAAAAGAGTTGACGAAATATTAACTTTGAAGCCAAATAAACAAGCAAAATATTGGGAAAGTCCGTTCGCAACAAAATTTATTTCATTTATCAAGGTAAGGTTCTATAGGAAAGCGTTTTTAACCGACTGCCCCAGAAGGAGGGCAATGTCTTTCGAGAGTATGTATGTATGTATATCTGTATGTATGTCTTTTTGGGTTTTTGTAATTACTGTTGTAACGATAGGGCTTGCTATATAATATATAAATACATTATGTTACAACTTACCATTGTCATTTAATTAAGTATGTTTCTTATCCTATGTTTTTAAAAACAATGATGATATTCACGTACATATTTCTTACATAATTGATGGAAATTAAATATCTTTAGTCTAAAAACAACATTTCTAGAGAAAATCTATTTTTATGAGATACTTTATAGTCAAAGGTTTATTCTATTTATTCTGAGCAAATTTTACAACAATAGCTTGCTATTATAAAATCTTTACTCTATAAAGTAAGCTTATATTTTTAAATATTATATTTTGATAGTGTTTTCAAACATTTATTATAATCTCTCAGAAGTACAACGCTGAACATAGGCATTCGCCATATACTACCTCATAGAGTAATACTTGCCACAGTTACCACGCGTTAGTAATCGTAGATTTTTATTATTTTGGGTTATCATCTATTTTTTTATTTTTTTTATAGGATAAGTGTGACAAACGAGCACACAGTCCACCTGATGGTAAGTGGTTACTGCGGCCCATAGACATCTACATCTATCCTCTATTACAAATCAAAATGCAGATGCGTTGTCACCCGTGAGGACTAAGATGGAATGCCTCATTTCCAGTAAAAAGGGCCTCCGGCCACCTGCACTCACCAAGCGAAATGCAGAGGTAAACCTCTATTTCACGCTGGTATTCTGTGAAGTCGTGGTACCACCCCGCTTCGAGTCGGCCTATCCGTGCGACAGCAAAAGCCGCCACGTGGCTCTACCACTGTTGAAGTTGAATAGATGCTTCTGCCCATTTCCTGTTCCCTTTGTTACCTCTTACGCCACCCATGGCATGATACGTAGATTATATTACGGCGCCACTAGGTGCATTGCTAATAACGTATAGCTGTAGGTAGTATATTATTAAGGATTAATACTTAATTGAAATCTCTTCTTATAATACTATTTCCAAAACAAATTTTATAAATTTAGGTAAAATGTTGATAAAATAATTAACGATGGAACTTTATAAACCTTAAGCAAAATGTTTCCATTTCATAACTAAGTTTAAAGGTCACCGTGAAACCACTCAAGTATTTTCTTCATTTTCTTTACCATTTTTTTAAATTCGATTAATTTATTTTTATGGATTCATTTTTTATTTTAGTAAATCACTTCCATTTATATTTTACATTAATATTAATTCGAAAATTCCTAACCTCAAAAGAGAACGGTTTGAATTGTCCATATCACAAATTTCAAAAGCTAATAATAATTTTATGACTACCATCATCATCATCATTAAACCCCTTATATACCTATATTATTCCAAGTTACAGCCCTTCACAAATCAAATTAACACTGCCTCTGGCTACTTGCATCCAACGACTTCTTGCGTTGTAAAGCCATCTAGTCGGAGGCCACCTTATGTTTCACTTACCGGTACGGGGCTGCTACTCGAGAACATGTCTTCCCTGTCGATTATCGAGTCTTGGAAGTATTGCTCTGATTTCACTACGCATAATGTCGTCGCGAATTCTACTACGCAGAGAAACTCCGAGCCACGATGCAGGTGGCACAGAACCGTCTGTTGCGGCTTTTCTTCCGGTAAACCTTTGTTCAACATTGGACTTGTGAAGGGATTTTTAGGTGGTACTCCTTTTCTGCCTATAATTTTTTTGTAGGATAAGGTGACAACCGAGCACACAGTCCACTTGATGGTAAGTGGTTGCTGTGACCCATAGATATCCACATTTATCCTCAATAAAGAATCAAAATGCAGAGGCATCGTCACCCGTGAGGACTAAGATGGAATGCCTCATTTCCAGTAAAAAGGGTCTCCGGTTCTCTACACTCACCATACGAAACACAGCAGTGTCAAGCTGCCATTTTACGCTGGTATTTTGTGAGAGCGTGGTCCTTCCCCGGTCTAGCCGATCCATTCGTGCTACAACTATACTACTAATATAGCTGAAGCATGGCTCTACCACGTGTAAAACAGGTAAAAGGGTAGTACATATCCGTCTGGATAGCTACCACCCTTTTACCTGTTTCTACCGCCTAATAGCAATGTCTCACTGCTATGTTCCGATCTGAAGGGTATAGAGAACCATTACAAACAAGGCTTGAGGCATTCATTTATGGTCCTCAGAGATGACAACACACCTGTAGCCTTACTGTGTTTGAAGACGGTTGCAGATGTCCCTTTTCTTTATAGGATAAGGGTGACAAACGAGCACACAGTCCACCTGATGGTAAGTGGTTGCTGCGGCCCATAGACATCTACATCAAACAAAATGCAGATGCGTTGTCACCCGTGAGGACTAAGATGGAATATCTCATTTCCAGTAAAAATGGTCTCCTGTTCTTTACACTCACCATACGAAACACAGCAGCGTTAAGCTACTAATAAATATATATCCATGGGCTGCAGTAGTCCCTTCCATCAGGTTTAATGAAATTTCGCTTGTCACTTAATTTTATTTAAAAAATACAGCGTAATATATCGAAAATTATGCCAAATAATTAAGCCTTACCCGATATGGAGAATCAAAGTTTATTTTCATATCTCGAGTTGCTGCTGTGAGCAGACGGGGAACGAAATAATAAAAAGGTTCTATGAATAACAGCGAAAACCTAAAAAATACTGAAAAATGTCAAGGTTGTGTAGCTACATTACTGACAAATAAAAGGAATATATATTATCCTATATTATTTTCGTAATACTAAAAAGGCAACATATTCATTGTTTTGTATTTGATCAATTGTATCTTTGTGAATGGGAGAGAATGCCTTGTGGCAATCAGTCCGCCTTTTTGTTCATTTGATTTTGTTGAAATAAAGTTTAGTGACATAGCCTTACTAAAATGTCATTTTTTTTAATCAAAAAGCTTTTTCTCTTTACAAAGTAATTATAATGTAATTCATAAACAAATATGTAGGTATTTACTTTTTTGTATCGAGAAAATAGTGTTACGTTAGTAAGATGAATAATCTGCGGGCGCGATCGATACATGAAAAGCGCGGGGTTGAGGCTTGAAGAGGGGTTGTGGAGGGAAAATGGGGAGACTGCTAAAGGCCGGGGGTGAACGTAGAGGGAGACGTTCATTGAGAACGTGTAGGCGGCGCGTGGGCGAACAGCTTATAAAGCCTTCCAGCCCATGCCGCGCCGTAGTTGTGATCTGAACGCGTCCTTACACACAACAAAAGTGCAATATGTATTACTTACTACTGTCGAGTTGGAGGTAAGTCAAATTTAAAAATGAATTCCCGAAACGTTTAGTTAAAGAAAAAAGTAAAAGCTTTCAATTAATTTGCAAGTATTAACTTTATTTTTAAAGTTTCATTTTTTTTTATTACGTCAAATCTCAATAAGGGAATAACTTGTTATTTATTTTATAGCATAATTATTTATAAATAAGCACGCAGTCCACCTGATGGTAAGCAAACGTTGTGGCTCATAGACGCTTAGTTCCATCTTTGAAATATTGTCAACCTGAAGAACTGAGATAGAATGCCTCGTTACTATTAAAAAGGCCCTCCGGTTCTTTATATTCAGCATACGAAACCTAAAGGCATTAAACTGCTACTTTACGCTGGTATTCTTTGAAAGAATGGTCCTTCCCCGGCCTAGAGGACTGCTAAAGTAAAAAACTAGAAATCACACGTATTTTCATTTAAATAATTTATGATAACTGACAAACATTTGCATGTTCTATTAGCATTGTTCTACTACCAATCAAACTTTATCTACCAACAATGACTTTGTTTTAATAATAACGCTTATTATAAGGCTTAAAATACATATATTTTTATGATACATTTTAGATCCTGGGTAGCATTACTCGGCTACCTAATAGTACAAGCAACAGCTTATCCTATACAAGGGTGGCCTATGTATCCTCAAACGCCCAGAGAGTACCAAGACGATGATTACTACTACGCGCCTAAAGTACAATATTACTACGATGCTCCTGCTATGAATGTTCCCGATGTTTACGGACAAATACCATATTCATATTATTATGATCCATATAGCCACTTCGCTAATGAAGCACCAGAGAGCCAGGACGAGAGACTTGCATCTTTACCAATAGGACAGGAAACATGGTTTGAAAGCGATAGCTCCCCACGTTTCCGATCTAATAATATTGACGATGTTAACGCAGCCTTCTTAGATAATTTAATCCTGACACAAATGGCGCAAGATGCTCAACGGCGACGCGAGAATGCTCGAGCTGCTTTTTCAAACGTTGACTACGAGGACAAAGATAACGAAGACGAAGATGTGAAAGAGTTAAAGGCTTTGGCAGGCAAACCTCTTTACCACGGTCCTAAAACCGTTCCAAGATTCGAAGACGACGAATACCCATCAGACGATGGATTCATAAACTGGAACGGAAACAAAAGAAGCGTCACTACACCCCGACCTGTCTCCACAGAAGAGTCGACAACCGGTCAAAAAGAAGTAGCAGTACCTCGACCAGCAAAAACTACTAACGCGAGAAGTCAGCATTCAGAACATGAAAAAAGAAGCTCGCCTTATTACAACACTATCGCACAATTGCTTGAAAATAAATCTCATGTAAGTATATTTTGTATTTGTAAAGGGAACATGACAACTTCTCAAATGCCTACATCATGTGCACGTGCTAAAACCTATAACAAATAAACGAGGCGCTGACGACCAACAAATGGCAGTAAAGCCATTCCAAAATACTGAAGTCAAAACTCGCAGGTTTGTGATAGGAAGTAACATGACCATTGCGAGAATATCGGATCTGCACTCGCCATCCCGCCTACCCGGCTTAGTGATTATGGGCAATCTTTCAAATTATACCCGCCACTTAGAGTATTTTTTGAAATGCGTATAATATCCAGTAGATAAAAAATGTAAAAGCTAATGAAGTATGTTTAACCACACAACATATTTTTTTTTAAATATTATTTAGACAAATATAAATTTAAGAGTTTTCCGTATAAAGGAAATATACAACCTATAGATATACGCCGACTGTTATAACCGAGTCTAAAAATAGCTTGGCCGGGCTGGGGGTGGTGGGCTGGTGGGTGACACGTTCGGCCTGGAGGCCGGGTCAATTGAGGGAGGGCAGCGTGCAAGGAACCGATATAACCTAAAAGCTCGACGCTTGCTGTCCTACTTAAAATATATATCTGTATGAATTAAGAATTAATTAAGTATCTTACCGGCTATTTTTATTTTTTAAACAGAAAGCAACAAAGGATCGAAGAATTGACAAACGTTTTGTGGCGGGAGATTCGGATCTTGTCGTTGAACTTCGAGGGCTAAAACATCGCATCGCCACTTAAATAAATCCATCTGATAACCGCCAACAAACATGAGACTGAGTATTTACGTAGACTTATAGATATTTACGGCAACTGCGACCCGATACAATCGCAATCCACGAAATTAAAACAAAAAAATATAGAATATTAATGTTCGCCTAATCTAACGACAACGTGAGGTGTATCTTCCTAAATTTGTATAATTGTTGTCGTCCAATTCAGAATCACTTACAATTTCGTATCGCTATTTAGATATCTATTTTCTATAGAACTCATTGAATTACCAGTTGTAGAAACAAATCTATAAAAATCTGTATATTATCTAATTCTTTTTGATTCTTTACTAGATAACTGTATGTATGGATATTTCGGAGCGTGTTAATGATCGTACAAAATGTGACTATAATTATCCATTAAATGGAAGGGTTGAAAATTCATGCATAATAAAATAATACCTTGCAATCGCAAGAAGTTCCCTTCATTCGGCAGCTTTTGTGTCGCACAAATGTGCATTTGTAAATATATTAAGTACTGATTGTCTAAGACTTAGATAGAAATTAAACTTCAAGTTCTATTTGTCAATTTGAAAAAATCGACACATAGGACAAAACACTCTTTCAACAAATAGAACAAAGATATGCTATGCTTTCTAGCTTAAATGTTTTAAATGTTTCTTTTTCTAATCTCTAACAGTTTATATATTTGTACAGTATATAATATTATATATGATACATGTTTATGCCCATAGTCTAAAGAGACAATATAATAAATACCATTTTGCAAAGCAAAATCTAAAACATAGTAAACCTATTTTATCTGTAAGAATGAAATAATTCTCTCAGAGAGCAGAGGATTAAGTGATATTTTAGCTTTACTGCTTCTTAACTAATATATTTTGTAATATGCAGTTGGTCTAAAAGACCATTCTTAAAATTGATGTGCTAACGATCTCCATTTTGACTTTTGCATGTAATATTTTGATGCATTAAATAACAAACTATTATCTAGATCGCAAAGCATTTTAATAATGGTGTTAATAAGTTACACCGTCAGCACTTTCTGATTAAATTTAAAAAAAAGATGTTAAAAAGTTGCAGGGTCTTATTGTGCGTCAATTGGTGTAAACAATTATAAATAAAATCAGTCATATTAGTTATACTTAATATGTTTTTCACCGCTGTTTTACTTGTTAAGGAGTGCTGTTGGTGAAACAAAATAAGTAACAATTTTCCTACGTAGTTACTACTTTTTATATAAAGGTCTAAACCTATCTTCGTAATGTACATATCTGTTTACGTAACATGAAATTTTCAAATCTTTTTGTTCAATCTATGAGAGAATACATTTAGTTATATTTAACAAGTTGTAAATGTTGTACTCAATTAGGAAAACAAAAAAGTATTACTAGTTAATGAAATTACTGTTTAAATTAATGTATACATACAGTAAAACAATAAATTTCAGCGTAAATAGTGACTAACTAAGTTTGATTAAATAAATAAAATGGCAAGGGCAATATAACCACATGAGATATAATCATAATATAGCACAGATGATTATTTGCATAAATTTCTGGCTCAAAATATCATTTTAAGTACCAAGGTACTGTAATGTCTATTTATATTTTGTATAGGGAGAGTAATGTATTTTTTTTTTTCTATTAAAAACAATAAAATTAAGATACAATCCTAGTATCTTAAGGTACTTTAAAATGTACTCTAAAGAAATTATAAAATCAAATATTGAATTCAATAAGCGTCTTGTGTTTCATTAAAAGATCTTCATTCTTTTCTAACTTTTGGCCATTTAAGCAAACGTGCACACCCAGTATCAGAAAATATGGTTTAAAAGAAACAAAGGCATTTCACTACCTTTTCTAATTGGATAAATGTAAGAGTGGTAATGCAAGTGATAATATTCTCCTGTCCGATTCCAACCACAACAACTTTTGAATACTATCGGAGCTATTCAATGATGATATTTAATCTCCAAAAGTTACAACGATTACAAACACACCCCGCTCCCTCCTTGTCTTAGAAAGCACGTACATCAGTTGATCCTGTGTCTGTTCTCTCTTCCGTTATGACTACAGATTACTATCATATCGGGCCATGAAAGGAAACAGTGAGTGCTCCTGTACTTGCGCACACACACGTTTAATAAAACCCTGTCCTGCCCACATGGCTAATTTCCGTTGAGACTGGATGCCGAAATTCTCTAAGATGTAATGTACATGTTGTCTCTAAGCCATTATAACAATCTCAACAAACCAAAGATTGGTTATCGAACAAATGTTGGCTGTAGCCGGAATAGTACTTCCGACATAATGTTTCCACATACCTAAGTCTTTCATTATATAACATTTTAAAAAAACCCAGTCCACCTGATGTAAGTGGCTACTGGAGTCTATGAACACCTGGGCAAACTTTGAACACAGACTAAGGACATATATTAAGCTGTGCTTTTAACAAAGACAGTTACAGATGTGTTGTCACTTCTGTGAACTAAAAAGAATTACGTCACGCCTCACACCTCACAGCATAAAATCACACTGTCTCTCCATCATCTATTAACGAAAATCTGTTATAAGTTATAAATTTATTAGATTAAAAATGGAATGAACATTCGCAACAAATCCTATGGAATAAGTCGATTATGTCGTGGAATAGGTTAATGAGGGGCTAATAATCTTACGCTTACCAGATGTCGCTAGTTGGGACTGAGGTGAAGGTTTTGTGTTACACGATGTTATTTAATTTAGAAGTTGCTATTAAGAAAAAGTTTATCAGTTTCTAGTGTTATATTAATACAGTGTTATATTTATACGTGGTACAGCCATGATGTACCACGTATAAGCACTTGTTTCACCGTTTCCACTGAACTATCAATGGAAACGGTGAAACAAGTGCTCTGATGGTGATGGATTCGCAAGATAAGCTGTTTGTCTGCATAGGCGCCTTTAGATACCATCGCCAACTGTCAGCTGTCTGCTGGCTCAAGTTGCCGTCAAAATCTCCCAAGGGCTGCACAATGTGACGTATCAACATATTGTGAAGCAGTGAACTATGAAGGATATAAAAAAGACAAGGCTGTATGGCTTAGTTCCTTTGCCTGCTCTCTCGAGCGAATAATAAAAACAACAACAACAAGTTAAGTCTGGTTAAGTCAAATGTCAATTGTTTGTCAACAAAGTTGATGATGTTGATAAAAGTTATTTAAATTGGGGTTCATTAAAAATTTATATACACTATACAAACACCTTGAATAGCAAAGATTATTATTTACAAAAATAAAACACTTTACGTAGGAAAAGTAACAAATAATGGTTAAAGCACCGATAAGGCTAGCATTCCAATCCACGTCAGTAAAAACTTTTGTGAACTAAGAAGTAAACCAGAATGCGTAGGACCAAGGGATATCAAGACTTGGATGAAAATGCTGGAGATTCACGTTTGTCCATTTCGCAAATGCCACTACCTCAAGAAATCGAAATGGCCTCGGTTTCTGTCGTTCCCGATGGTATTGAATTTTACTAAAAAAATACTAGAGAAAGCTACCTATCAAACATGCTAAACTCTTTGATTTATTATATATGATGTTTCAATTTGCACATAAAATGTGTATATTTTAATCGTTAGTAAAAATAATTTATATTTCAATGAAGAAAATATGTTTTAGATACATTTACAGTCACTCAAGCAGTTAATGCTCTGGGCTTTGGTTGGTTTCAAGTTAAGTTATCTCTCTGTACTGGTTTATGTTGGATGGCAGATTCAATGGAGATGACCATACTAAGTATTTTGTCTCCGGCACTACACTGTGAATGGAATATAAGCAAGTGAGTTAATTTTATATAATTAGTTTAATGAGCACGAAGATTGAACAGTTTATGTATGTATATTTATTACATTATCCTTTTACTATATTAGACACATTATTACACACATAATGGGAAATCGGATGATGAATACTCTTTGCCCCATTTGTTATGTGATATAATTTCAAATGTAAGATAACAATTTGTATTATTTATGAAAAAACACTATATTAAGGGTGAAGTCACTAAACAATTTGCCATTCTCTTATAATACTTACATATTTATCAGCAAAAGGGTTTTTGGAAAATAACTTCAATAGAAGTTAAACAACATTCAATGTTGCATAGTTTGTTGGTTGGTACTATAAAGAATATAGTACCCTTGTGTCATCACATGCATGTTGTAAGAGGGGACTATGAGAAACCCAAGAAAGATCTGTTCAGAAATCCCATGTCAGTATTTTAAATTTGTTCTGAAAAAGTTATTAATTATAGCAAATTATATGAAGTATAAGGGAGGCTTTTGTCTAATTTATTGGACTACTTATAATATAATAATAATAAAGCTTTATTTCTCTACACATTTACAGAGTTAACAAAAAAGTAATAAATACATAGAACTATTAGAAAGTATTTGTTGGTTTATGTAGTCCCTCTTGGGTAAAAGCCTCCTCCAACTTGAGCCATTCTTTGTGGACTGGACTACTTATAGCCGGATACAAAAACAATCTTAATGCATTTGCCTATTTATAGCAGGATACAAAAAAAAAGTAGAAATGTTTACATAATATCTCAATATTATGTTAGCTGTTTTTATAGAATAACAGTGATAAATCAGTTCGTTAAGAATGAAAATCCAAATACATTGTCAACATTGAGGACTATAACTTAAATAAAAAATTTAAAAACCTCCAAAACAAAAAGAGCTGGTGATCTTCAAACGGCTGATTAGATTTTCTGGAAACATAGCTAAGAACACTTGATTAAGACACCTTTCAACCGAAAAAACTTAATCTAATATAGTTCATCCGTTCAGGAGCTATGATTTCACAGACAGACACACAGATACATAGATACACAGACACAAAGATACACAGATACACTCTACAAACATATTATAACACCCGTCCATTTTTGATGGGGTTTAAAAATAGAATGTCTCTATTGTCAGTTTCAGTAAAAAGTGTCTCCAGTTGACCAGAAGTGTTCTGTACCCGCTTTATTGATAACTTTAAAATGATTACTTAATTGAATATTTTGTCTACTTACAGGTATCAGCAAGCTCTAACTACCACCATAGTATTTTTAGGTATGATGTTAAGTTCAACCTTTTGGGGAAACATTAGTGACCGTTATGGAAGGAAAACTGTAAGCATTATTTTTTGACCTCCTTGGCTTTTAAGCAAATTTTAAAATTTGTGTTTCATAATTACTTACTACTTACTTAATTGATGTTGATCTTACTGTAGATGTATTTGAATTTTATCCAAAAACAACTAACAATAAAAAAAATGTGGTTGCCAACCTTCTTGCCAAGCGTGGCAACTATGACAAATATCCCCGCTATGAGACAATCTATGGGTGAGGCCTATGTTGAGCAGTGGACTTTTATATGCTGTAATGAAAACATGGTACATTTTAACAACATTTTTAGTTTATCTTTTTACTCATAAGCTACTCTATGGGTAAAAATAATTGAATAAAAATATTTCTGTTGTTTCAGGCATTGAGCATGTGTGGAGTTTTGTTATTTTATTATGGTTTGCTGAGTTCTATTGCTCCAAATTTTCTCTGGTTACTTTTCTTGAGGGGACTTGTTGGATTTGCAATAGGTTGCGTACCACAATCGTAAGTTGTGCAGTGAATGTTTTCATAAAAAATATTAATATATCAATGAATTAAATGGAAATATTAACTGCTTTTTTTGTTTTAGTGTAACATTGTATGCTGAATTTTTACCAACTAAACAAAGAGCTAAATGTGTGGTTCTGCTAGATGTAAGTAAAATTAAAGTATTACATTTATTTATTTAATCTTTATTGTAAGAGATACCTTAAACTACGGGTGTGTGCCCATTGTAAAAGTTAATGCCTTATGGCATTCTCTACCAGTCAACCCTGGTAGAAATAGGGAAATAAAAGTTGGTAGGTGTTAAAAAAATTATTAGAAATAACAGTTCAGATGGAGTTACAATATATTGTACATATTCAAGGGACTGTGTGTAATAAAATTTATAATGAGGATATCCGTGGCTAACATGAGTAACTTAAATAATCCTAATTGATTAATGAAACTGAAATGGCAATAGGCCAGTCATATAGCTTGGAGAATTTATCTATGGGGAAGAAATGTTCTGCTTTGCAGTCTACTACTGATGAGCAGTGTAGGACAATTAGATGGGTTAATGAGGCATATGGAGAATCAATACTAACGGCAGTGGCGTAGCGTGCCTTAGATGGGCCCTGTATCAAAATTTGTTGGGGGTTCCAAATGAAGAGTAAAGATTTTTACAGAAGGTAAAACGCTCGCATTGAATTAAAATAATTATATATTAATTACAAGTTATTACATAAAATTAATACTCCTAGGAACTAAGCTAGCCAAATAATCCAAATCAAATACGAGTATACACTTTTCTTGCCTTTTGTTTGGAGAACTTATTTATTAAATCATTCAAAGCTGAAGACTATTTCCACCACTGGGGTAATCTCTATTTCTTTCACTTTTTTTTCACAAATTAAAATTAATAACCAATATATAATCACAAGAATATATACAGTCTGAATTCTGTTAGGAAAAAAAAATTTCTCTGGTTAGGCGCGTAATTTGGCTCTTTTTTTACATAATGTTGATCTTACAACTTTAGGATGTTAAAGGGATACGAGTACCCACTAACAACGCAACAATGCAATCACAATCAGAAAATCGTCGTCCATATTCGCTGGCAGTATGTCTCGATTCAATGCCTAGCGTCTCTCAATTGAGCCTTGTTGGGCCGGCCACATACAGTCGGAATTCCGTTTCGGAAAACCGTTTCGGAATATCAATTCGAGATTTCGAACGCAAATCCATATCCATCAAGGACCTATCACACACATACAGTAGGTAGTTTTCCGTTCGAAAGTTTCATCGATTCGAAATTCCGCATGATTGCCTGTGTGTTCGAAATGACTCACGGAAAAAAAGTCGTTCCGAATGCAAGTCTTCCATAGACTTTGTATGAGTCGCATCACACATACGTTAATTCCATACAGAAAGCACCCAGTTTGCTCACACGATCAAAGCGAGTAAGTGTGTTTATGTATGTTTGTATATGTAATGTTACATGTATATCTTTTCAAACCTTTCCTCTTATTTTGTTTAATAATTCATCGAGAATTTATAAACATCCGATAGTATTATAAAATTCTCTGGATAGGCTTGTAATTTGACTCTTTTTACATAATATTGACTGTATTGAAATTTTAGAGTGTTAAGGGGATGCGCCCACTAACAATGTTACAGCAACAATACAATCGCAATCAGAAAAACGTTGTCCATATTCGCTGGCAGAATGTCTGAACTCAATGCATAGCGTCTCTCAACTGAGCCTTGTTATTCCGAAGGGAAATAAACGTATGTGTGTGGTGTATTTACGGAATCTAGAATCGATACTGAAATGGCTTTTCGAAACGGAATTTCGAATGTATGTGGCCGGCCTTTAACGGCCTTTAAACTCACAAAACTGATGTATACGCGCTACTAACACACTACTAACACGCGTCTCTTCTCGTCGCGGATTTAGTAATCTATGGTTGCGGGTCAATCGTGATGTGAGACGTTCTGTGTTACCGACTTTTGGGCACCCGTTTAACCCGGGAAAAAAAAGAAATACCTTTTTTGACTTCCGTAATTCCTGAAGTGAAAACTTCTTTAGGCACGTTGAGCACTTTTTTTGAGTTTTTTTTTTCTCGGAAAGTACTACCTACGAGTTCAAGTGAGATTGTGGACAACATTTTACGAATTTTAGCTTACACACGTTCGGGGCCCACGTAACCCAGGGGCCCCGTATAATTGATACGGCTGATACGGCGGTAGCTACGCCCTGGCTAACGGGTAGCTTAGAACCATGTTTTATGGCAATCTATTTAGGAAGGTTTCTTCAGGAGATTATGCTGGCCATCATGGTTACATCTTATCATTGTGTTTAGTAATGTTTTTTTTTTAATTACTATTTAGGTTCCCAATTGTTTCTCTGATTTTTTTTTATATTGACTGCTAACAACTGCCAATTTGTGAATTTAAGACCAAAAAGAGAATGTATGTAAACTGATAAATTGTACAATTTACATATATCGCTTAACTTTCAGTGTTTTTGGGCGCTTGGAGCCTGCTTGGAAGTAGCGTTGGCATTAGTAGTTATGCCAACGTTGGGAGTGCATTGGCTGCTCGCTCTATCGACAATTCCATTACTAATTTTTGCACTAATTTGTCCTGTAAGTAATAATTTATTAATCAATCACGTAACTTAAATTATTTAATACTAGCGATACGCCCCGGCTTCGCACGGGTGATTTCTGGATCTCGACAATAGTGCCACCTTCCGAGTCCAAATGTGAATCTAAACCATTTAGGGACCCATTCAAACACAAAAAATATTAATATCGGTGGAGCAGTTTTTGAGTTTTAGCGAGACTATCGGACAGTAATTGATTTTTATATATACAGATCTTTCTGGCTTTTCCACAATCGCATCACAAAATCCACTGGTTATGTGATGTATTTTCTTACACTGCCACCAATCAACAACGGTCACTGCTTTTTTTAAGTTTTATTGTAGAAGATTAAATTTAAAATAAATTTAATCTTCTACAATAATTATTAAAGGAACAAATGAAGTTACAATCTATGTGATTGAAGTGACTACTGTAGCACTTGGACACCTACAAACCTGCAACTAACTTCTAAAGGACTACAGATACATTGTTACCCCTGAGGGCTAGGATGGAATGGCTCATAGGCAGTATTTACACCGGCTGTTTTATTCCTCTGTAAGACGTTCTGCACAACAAGTGAGACAGTGCATTTCTAGGCAGAAAAAGAACCTTACCACTGCCAGTAGTTAAAAAAAACTGTTTTATGCTTAATACTTAGACATACGATTTTTTAAACAAACATATAATATTAATGATGACTTAAAGGCGCGTAGCTGCGTGACTGTTTGTGACTGTGAACCATATGGCCATAACTTAAAAAGACCTTTTTTACTGGATACGAGACATCTTAGTCCTCAGGGGTGACAAGGATACAGTTTATGGGCTACAGCGTCTACTTACCATCAGGTGGACTGTGTGTTCATTTGTCACACTTATTCTATATAAAAAAAAACTTAACAAATTCATATTCAGTTTTTTTTTTTACAAATTTTCATTTATAACTACTATTGCATGGTATAAAGGAATTGTTTTGTAATAACCTAAAAGATTTTATATATTTTTCAGTGGTTACCAGAATCAGCTCGATTTCATGTCGCAAGTGGCCAGCCAGATAAAGCATTAGCTACTCTAGAGCAGGTACATTTACCAGATTAACTTAATGTAATTCAGACTTATAAACTGTGAAAACAAGTAACGTCGCCTCTTCTAAAAATAATCGATTTTCATAATCGCCGCGTTTGACAGACGCATGTGAGATGGAAGTACCAGATATTTGTATGTGAATAATTAAGGTTAAACATACAGAAATTGCTTTTCTGTCATATGGCACAAGATCCTTCCAGTATATCTCTAAGTGGGCTTTTAGCATATCCATGGGACGTCGAAAAAGAATTGTTTAAAATAATTGAGTTTCTATATTTTATATACAAGTATTTTTTTATAAAATCAGGGTGACACAAACCACCTGATGGTAAGTGGATGCTGTGGCCCACATAGACATCTACATCTATCCTCAATAAAGAATTAAAATGCAGATGCGTTGTCACCCGTGATAACTAAGAGGGAATGATTCTTTTCCAGTAAAAGCATGTCCTTCCCCGGGCGAGACAACCGATTCGTGTTACAATTATAATATACCTGCAGCATTTTTTTATATGATATGGGTGACAAACGAGCATACAGTCCACAAGGCGGAGATCGAACCCATGTTACTCGCGTATTGTGAATTTTACAGCGATCAATAAACATTATACGTAGTAGAGTCATGTTGCAGCTATATTAGTAGTATAGTTGTAGCACGAATGGGTCGGCTCGACCGTGGAAGGACCACACTCTCACAGAATACCAGCGTAAAATAGCAGCTTAATGCTGCTGTGTTTCGTATGGTGAGTGTAGAGAACCCCAGACCCTTTTTACTGGAAACGAGGCATTCCATATTAGTCCTCACGCGTGGCAACGCATCTGCATTCGCAAACAAGAATAAATGTAGGCCACAGCAACCACTTACCATCAGGTAGACTGTGTGCTCGTTTATCACCCTATACTATAAAAACACCTTCGTGCGGTATATAAAAGTCGAACGCCCAGAGTTAATAACTACAAAAATCAGAGTGTAGAGAATCAGAGACATGCAGATGCATTTTGATTCTTTATTGAGGATAGATGTGGTTGTCTATGGGTCACAGCAACCACGTACCATCAGGTGGACTGTATGCTCGTTTGTCACCCTATCCTATAAAAAAAAGTTCAAACCGTAATTCCTGGATTTTCACCATGGCAACCGCTTAGGTGTGAGACGGCGCGTTTTCATGGTGAAACAGAATTTTCTTTTTCTGCAAATGTGGCCGTTTTTCCGCAATTTCTGCCTTCAGTTTGTCAAGTAATGATGCGTAGTATGCTCCTGTAACGGTTTTTCCTTTTTGAAGATAATCGATTAAGATAACTCCACGACTATCCCAAAAACAGTCGCCATCACTTTCCCAACCGAAAAAACGGTTTTTTGCGTTTTGTGCAGCCGGTTCTCCCTTTGCAGTCCACTGTTATGACTGTATTTTTGTTTCGGGCGTATAATGGTGTATCCAAGTTTCATCTACAGTAATTAATCGGCGCCAAAACTCGAATTTATTGCACCTAAACTGCACAACAGAGCGTTGGAAATGTTCATTCAAACACGTTTTTTGCCTAACGTGAGCAAACGCGGCACCCATCGCGCTGACAGCTTTCTCATGCCTAAATCTTGATTTAATATGTGACAAACACGTTCTTTATCTTTATTTATATAGGCTCTGCTAACTCTTTCACTTTAAGTCGGCGCTCGTCTAGCACCATTTGGTGAACTTTAGCCATGTTATCGTTAGTAGTTGCAGTTTTTGAACGTCCCTAACGTTCATAGTCTCCCAAGCTCTCACAGCCACGTTTAAATTCAGCTGCACAAAATATCACTGTGGTAAATGATGTTGCAGAGTCCAACTCATCTTTGATTTGCGTAGGCCTTTCAGGGTTGGCTATAGATATCCGGTACTTGATTTTAATTATGTTTTCAGTTTAGAAGGCTTGTCTGGGCTAAGCATGAACCTTTTACACTGTTTTTGAATGTCGGAAATGAGTTTTGAATTAATTACGATAAAAATAAATTTCACTAAAAATACCGTATAACGAAACGCAAATATGACATTTTGTAGTGTTATGAGATTACATGTCAATAATCAATGTAAAGAAGTGTGAAACGGGACGGTGTGGACGGCCATAATTTGGGCAACCGTAAATGTCAAATATAATATATTATCTATGGTGTCAAATGTCAATTGTCATTCCGTTTCCGTTTCTCTAGTGGTCACGTGAATGTTTTCTCTTGTGCTTAGTGCTGTGTTTTCCCTGTTCTTTCAACGACTTCTGCTCTGTTTTTGAACTTTTTTGATTTGATTTAGAATTACATTGTTTCATTTACCACTATCATAGCAGAGTTTATGGAAACCTGACTTTATAGATAAGATAGATCTAATTTGTACTAAAACTGAATCAGAACACCCCGAATCCACGTAGTCTTGTCTGCCCTACCCCTAGAGTGTTTTTGTAAGCCGTAGGCGCGGAGGGAGAGCAGCCCACGCCCGCTGTAGCAAATCGCAGGCAGGCAGGCAGGCATGGGTGCCTGTGATTTGCTACGCAAGGGCGAAGGGGCTGCACTTCCCAGCAGCGCCGAAGCCGTTGCAGATGTAGTTTTGTGTCAATATTCCTGTGTAAAAAAGTGAGGTTATGATTTTACAAAAAAATTATTACTCATAAACTATACATTTCCGCAAGGGGGGAAGGGTAGGGGAGGCTTCCCCTGAACCCTCCCGCTCCCCCCCCCTCCCCCTCCCACCCCTGTACGCGAGTACCGCATCTCTATAGTTTAACCGCCTTTCAAAAATCAAAAATTTAATGACAGCTCCATACTCAATTTTTTCCATTTTCACAAAAACACTCACATCGACTCACTCAAACGACTGTCAAATACACAGAACACAATTACTCTCTATCGAGAGAAGAACGCCATCTCTAAACTAAAAAACTGAAACACGCCTTATACGTTTATACTTCTAGCGCCACAGTGGGACCCATATGAAACTTTTGTCGCGGGAATTTCAAACCTTTGTATTCTGTAATTTTAAACTTTTTATTTAAGCCCTATTCGAGTAATTTTGGCTCAAGCCTCACAAACCTATGGGGTAAATTTCCATACATGGGTGCACCAAAATTTTTATTTATTTATTTATCTTAACAACATGAGTATAAAAACACAGGTAACTGCGGGTCGTACTTTACTTGTATGTCGGTGGATTTACAAAAGAATTTCAGCCAGAACTAAATCATGATCCGTAATAGATGATTTGCAGACAAGGCCTGAGGACATTGTCTCAGATTTTATTAAGATGTGGTTAAGGCATGAGGCTCCTCTAGTCGGCTTTGATATCGCTGGATATAGACCATGAGATGCCATCAAGCATAAATAGTTGGCTGCTTGTGCACTCATCGGATCGTTAATGTTAATATTAATGTCACCTGCAATTACTAGGGCTCGTTTGTGTTGTATGTCAGAGAGTACAGTGTCCATAGAGGAATTAATTCGATCGGTATTTGAAAAGGAAGGAGAGCAGTAAGTTCCTAGGACTGTAAGGTCGTTATTCATATTTATGAGGAGACTATCAGCGTCATCCAATTTATGTAGCTGAGGTGCGATTTCACTATTCCATGAGTTTTTTACGTAAGCTATGATCCCACCGCATTTGTTTACTTGTGATAAGAATTCATAGATTTTGTAACCCTCCAATGATTCAATAATGATACCATCATACAGCCAACAGTCCGTCAATACCATTAAATTCTATATCTAGGTCCAAGCGTTTGAGAGCTAGTATAAAATCGTCAAAATTACCTTGATAACTTCGTATATTGAATGGCAAAACTTTTAGACTACTTATCATTAGTAATAACACTTGCATTTTTCCATAGAGTCTATACTACGACAGTCTATGGCCAGTGATTCGCCTATATCATTAGCAATGCCAAATAAATCCATTTTAATTAATATAAATATTACAACAAAAGATAATATTAATTTTTACTGAAGTTTTTTACAGCTGCAAGAGTGGGAATGTTGTTATTAATTCGTGAAAATAACTTTAAATCTTTGTTGGTGTGTGTTTCAGTGCGAGTGTTTGTGTATTGTATAGTGAGTTGTATGTTAAGTTTGTGTGTGTATAAAATTGACCTAGAACTATCTTTGCGTAAATAAATTGACAAGAATTTGTAAAATATAAGAATGAATTGGTGACTTAAAACTAAATTTAATATAAAATATGCGCAACAGCCGGTGTAATGATAGTAAAGTAAACAACGTTTTGTGATTTGTTAGACGTCTACTAGAGGCTTTCCAACAGGCGGGCAGTGACGTAATAAGTCGGAGGAGTTCCGGGTCGTAATTGGAGGGCTTCCCTCCTGTTTACGAATATTGACAGCGCCATTTTTGATCCAGCAGAATGTGAAGCCACATTCTTTGGTTCTCTGTCTTGAAATGCAAAAGAACTGCGGATTTTCTTTAGTCAGCCGCTCATTATAGTAAATGTTTCTTGCACTGCTAAGTAAGTCTAGATCCTTACTATTGAGGTTGCGTCTAGATTTTCCTGCGAGTAGGAATCCCGCTTATTTCGTCGTAGAAATCTCGCAACTGGTGGACGAGGTTGCCAGTCCGCCGGTGACTTACTGTCATTGTTTTTGTATCGCTGACTCTTTGACTAAGTCGTTAGCGTCGAGTTTGATTCCAATTTTTGCAGCCTTTATTAAAATAATGTGCACCGGATTTTCGTTGTTGGTTTCTGTTCTGCCTGTGATTTCAACTTCGTTCTTTAGGTGAATTTGTGCTTGAGTATTAATTTTTTCCTCGATATAACTTGATTTCAAAGACATCTAGTCGTATATTGCACTGCATCCAGTAATCAGTTAGAGACTTTAGGTGGGCTTTTAATTCCCCTACGTCTTCGCGAAGTAGTTTTATTTCCGAAGCCAGCAGAGATAACTGACATGATTTTGCTGCCAAAGAGCACCAAAATCAAACCACTACTGGACTACATCTGTCGATATCTTCGTTGCAGAGGTGA